ATACTTAGTATATAATACTTTTATAATATAATTAGTGTATATATAATACTAAGTATTATACTAATTGTAGGTATTATATATATATATATATATACACTAAGGTATATATGTATTTAGCATTTAGTATTTTAGTATTTTATGTATTCTAAGTATTTACTATATATTTATACACTAAGTATTTAATACTTGGTAAAATGTATACTAAATACGCAGTATGTATAAAATACTAAAATGCTCAGTATACAAATACTTGAATGAAGTATTCAAATGCTTCATCGTACCTGCGAAATTGTTGTGCGAGAGGAGACCCTTCTTCTTGTGCAATTCGGGGCCACCGCCGATGTAGATTTCAGGATCGATGATCATGTTGTAATTCTCGCCGGGGATTTCGAGCACTTTGATCTCGTCGTCCAAACTGACGAAGACCAGTGACCCGTTGTGAAATATCGTTAGGTTGTTCCAATGGTTCGAGGTGATGTAGTCGCCTAGCACCGTCGCGATCTTCGAATTGTGCCCAAAGTCCAGTTCCACGTGAACCGATCCGTTCACTATGGAAGCCGCCACGTAATGCGGTGTCCCGTCGATTTCACCAGACGCGTAAAACAAAGCTGAATCGTCCCACTTCGTCTTTGCGTGAATAATCAAGTAAATAAATACGGTTACGAATAGTTGAAGAGTTTCTCCACATGGATGGAGAATGACAGGAGAGAATATAATGATTAACGTACCTTAAATGCAAGGCTTATCCTATTGACGGACGAGTGAACTCTGTCCTTCCAGTCGTAAACGCGAAACGAGACGTACGAAGAACCTCTCAACGTTAAAATCGTGGCCGCTGCAACATATCGTTTCTTTTTCACACAAAATGTTCCAAGAAGTTTGGAATAAGTATGTAAAAATTTAGGCTCTCTGTGTCAATCAATTTGCTTTTTTCCTTCTATCTAGAGCAGTGGTTCCCAACTTTTTCTTGGCCGTGCCCTCTAAAATCCTGATGCCTCAACCACACATAAGTAATTCTTATTATTCAAAGAGTGAATTTTTTACGTGGAGGAAGCTTAGAAGGCCTTATTAAGCTTAGTCTAAACAATCTTCCAAAAAACAGTTGAAGTATCTTGAAGAAATCTCTAAGAAATAATTTTAATGGAAGCTTTTTTCGTAATATATCTCGATTATTATAAAATAAAATAAAATAATTTTAATAACTCATTCTCGAATTGCCTCCACGTTGGGAGCCACGAAGAGACGAAATTTTGTCAAAATTCTCTCGTTGAGTTGCGAAATTTAAATATAGAAAGCCGCGAAGCGAAACGTGCGCAACGAAAGAAAATAATAAATTTCCTCTTTACGTACTGTACACGTCGCATCGCTCTCCTTCGTACTTCGTTCCAAAGCAGTCGCAAGTCAAACTGTTATAGTGATTCACGCATTGGTTCGAGATGAAGCAGAGATTCTCTCGTGTTCTGCATCTGAAATACAGATTGTCGGGCAGATTCATCGAAACGATCGTCAAAGAGAAATCTATGTATCTCTGTGTATTGCCAGTCACTTACTTGTCGATGCAGCCCTCCTTCACGTTTTCGTGCTTCGTTGCGATCAGAGGCTGAATGGGCAACAAATCGCTGGCCGATTTGCCCGAGCTGAGAACCATATCCCTTATGCAGCCAACAAACGATTCTATTATGTACTTCACGCCGTGCAATCTCTCCTCGGAACTTAACCCTAACGAAAATCGTGCAATTCGTGAGAAAACTAAAATTCGATTAGTGTCACGGCTTCTTTTTTTTTTTCTTTCTTTTCTTTTTCTTCTTCTTCTTTCGCTCTCCTCAATTTATTCATATTCGCGGATAATAGAAGATTGGAAAAGTTGACAAATTGACCACTACTTTTGTAAGAGACAGAGAGAGAGAGAGA